GCCGCACTGGCTGGTGCTGGAGCGGTGGCTTCAGTTGGTGCAGTGATGGAGGAGGGAAGGTTTGCGGTCGGGTTAAATGTGGCCAAAGGAGGTGTTGGTGCTGGAACTGATGTGGCTTCTGTCGCAGTGGTGTCTGCTGCAGGCTCGAGTACTACAAAGGGACTGCCGCTGTCTCCAGCTGGTCCAGCAGCAGGTTCTTTTTCAGGGGGCGGTGTGGGTTCCGAAGGTTGCGGGGAAAACTTTGGTTCCTCTGAGGAGTCTGAAGGAGCTGCAAGGAGACTACCGAAAGACGTAGGTGAAGCTGAGGCAATGGAGCTAGACTGGGGAACAGGGAAGGCCTGCTTGGGGTTCGGTTCAGGAGGCTTGAACAAACTGCCTGACGCTGCTGCCCCCATGGACAAGTCTGCTACTGTAGAATCTTCTGCAGACTTCTGGAGACCTGATGCAAAGCTAAACTGCGCCGCTCCCTTGCCGACACCAAGTCCCGTTTCCCCAAAGCTAAATGAGCCAGCAGCAGGTTTGGCGGCTGAATCTTTAGCTTCTTCTCCGTGGCCCACACGCAGTCCAGAGAAACTGCCCAGAGTCTCTCCTCCAATTGTCTTAAGGGGCTGTGGCTCTATCCTGAGGGCAGATGTGGCAAAGGCAGGTTTGTCCCCTGATGCATTTGGAGGCTGGGTGGGAGACCCTGTGCCCTGAGCAGGGGAGGTGGATGTTGGGGTGAGGGCGAATGGCTCTTCTCCCGCCTGCCCAAACATCATCTTGCCATTTCCACCGAAGGAGAACTTATTCACATCCTTCACTGGAGAGACAAATAAGAAAAGGATGAGTGCGTGTACATTTGCCATCATCCTAAATCAATTGACCGAGAAAACCAATCAAATCATGCAAGAGGCGGGCTTAACTACTTTACCACTGACTTGCTGTTTTTATGCCGGTAGATATCGTTGGAACGGACATTGATATTAGCGATAGTTAATTACGATGATATATAGAATTTTCACATCCTCCTCATTCAACAGCAAGAGCTCGACGTCTGCACTCAATCATTTTTCCCTCCGTTATTTACATTTGATCGCCGCTCCCCCGGCTCATCAGCTGTTTTGCCTGACTCGCTTTGCCACGGTGCGTTTTTGAAGCGTCTGCGCCAGTTGCGCCGCGTCTCGCCGTGTTCTGCCCCTAAGATTCTCTGATAGCAAGCTGCTGTATCGTCTTACCTTGTGACATTCCAGCTCCCTGAGTAACGGAAGCAAAACTGAAGCCTGCAGACCTGCAAGAGAACAGTTAAGTCACAATGAACCAAGTGAAACTGAACATATGGGCAGAGTAATATTTCGAGAGGGATTGATATTGCCATAGCCAAATGCAACCAATAGCTACGTCCACCCACAAGCTGATGGTCAAGTGCATTTTTAAATGATGGAAGGTCTTAGTTGGTCTCCACAGATCACATTTGATTGGATACATATATTGATGATTATGAACATATAATATGCAACATGTTAGGCACACTTTATATTTCAGAATGCTTCTTTAAGTTTCATAATTGACTCACCCTGGTGCAAAGGAGAAGCTTTTGCTAGTGGTTTGCTCTGCTGAGAAAGCAGGAGCCACTGAAGCATCTGTTTTAGACGATTGACCTGAAAGACACAGAAGTTTATTACCCAATATCAAGACAGAATCGTCACCTCCTTACACTCTTGTTTCCATCTACACTCTGACATTGCGTTCACTCTAATCAATTTCCAATCACTAGAGACCATATCATATCATATTCAAAGCTATTATTCAGCAGCCCAAAAGTGAAGGAGATCGATTCAGAGATGTCAGGGTATTTCTCCCATACAGACTCGGTGTCTATTCTGGGAGGATTTGTGTAAATGTTTTAAATTATTTGTAAGGGTTGGAGATTCACAATGTCCGTGATACGCCAACAAAGACGGCACAGAAAAGACGCTATGCTACGAGTCCCAACCCGGCATCTTGTAGCAGTACGACAGAAGTAAATAATACATTTTTTTCCAGACATCAAAGCAGAGTGCTGTTTCAAAGATATCAGTTCTTTTAATCGATTCAGAACAGCCTCGATCGCAGCAGCAGTGTCGCCTGTAGCGGCCTCCATTGCTGTTATTATTACTCCTCTGTTCCAGCGTACAGCGGCATTAGACCCGCCCCTGGTGCTGATTGGTTTATCATTAAAAAAACAAACAGCTTAGAGGAAACTATGTATGCTCCTGTATCTAAGCAGTGCTTACCAAACACAAAGCCTGTTTGTGGGGAGGTTGTGCTTTCATTGGACATCTTCTGGATACCTTGGGAAGGATTCTGTAAAGACAGTTTTTAAACGGGCATCAGCTATTAGAGGTTAATTCTGCAAAGTCTTAATACAGACAAACAGTATATCCATTGTGTATGATTAAAAGACCACAGGTTCCTCTGAACACACCGCTATATCTGCTGCAATTTGAAGGCAGATGTAGAGAAAAAGTGAGTGTTTATGTGCACACATGTGGCTGGAGATCAGTATGTTTTGGGTCATTCCCATTAAATTGAACCGTGACGAAGATTCAAGTGAGGAGTTCCCATGTCACCAAACTGCAATTTGTAACATCAACATGGGAGGGAGCTGGGGCATTTCTCACCCGTGTAGTTAATGGTCCGCCTTCGCATGTAAAACTGTCGGCAATCTGTGAATTGTCACAAGTTGAACAATCTTTAAAATTGCAGGCAGAGGGATACTAATACTGAATGTGCTTCATCTTAAGTGTTTAAAAGACAGCATGCAAACGGACAAAATACATTGAAGACATGTATGTGCGGCTGCACCAAACAGCTCCACTTGGAAATCTCAAACACTACAGGTGGTCAAGTCAATATTGTCATATTTCTTTTAATCAATTAACCTTATTTTTAAGAGAATCTGATTGTGTACTGAATGACATACAGCTGTGTGGGTGTACAAACATATGACAAGATGATTGACAGCTTGGGGAGTGATGGGTAGATGTAGCACTCACTCGTTTGGCCTGGTTGGAAGACACTGTTGCAAAGACGGGAGCTGCTGGATCTGGTATTGATGAGCTGGGAAACAGAGCAGAACAAAGAGTGGAGAGAGCGTTCAGTGTTTGGTTTGTTAGAATTCTGTCCACGTGGATTCAATACAACATCTAGTGAGATGTTAATGTCTGAATGAGGTATGCACAACCAAAAACCTGCTCTCTGCTACCAAGTATTTCCTTTGTGTAGGATTCCTTAGCTCAAAGCCTAAATGAATGGTAGTTTAAATTTTAACCAAATCTTTAACAATGTCGATTTTGAAATTCTTTGTTTTGGTAAAACTAAATATATCGAGCTGGGAATCACTTGAAGAAATGTCTGAACCGTTACACTACTGCGAGATAAAAGAGTAGGCGGGAATCAGGGAAAAAAAACCCACATTCATAATCATCTTACTCTCACAATGCCTTGCTGTGCTCGTTAGTTATTGTGAGCAGGCTTTATTTGGGGAAAAGCCGCAAGGACGGACGGCCTGCCGAAATATCAAGCACAAAAAGTGGTGCACAGCCCAGTGAGGCAGAAAGAGGAAGGTGCAGGAGACTGGAAGGGGCAGAACGAGAGTATGTGAGTCATGCAGTGAATTAAGAGTCCAATGAAAGACATGAAGAAGAAATGGAAGTGAAAAGGATAACGGTATTAAAAGAGACAATTAGACAGTGTGCATACAGTGCAGTCTATTCACACCGTTTTGTTTTGGCTCCATTCTACAGCATACTGGGTTGTTTTTTAAACATACTGTTATATATTACATCATTACGTCACCGTTTCATTTAAAATCCAGTGTGCTGGAGTAGAGCCATAACATACAAATAAGGGAGGTTTGTAAAAATGCAGGAAATGGAAGCAGAATTTTGAGCTGAACATTAAAAAAAAGGAAAGACTAAATAGACAGTGATATTTATAAGTGTATAATTATATGGAAGAGATGGGATACTTGAGGAAAACAGGCTAGAATGCAGAGCCTCGTGAGATTAGGTGGAGTCAGTGACCTGATAAATGTCTGCCGGGGAGACGCATTCAAAACAAGCAGCAAACCCCTGGAGGACTCACAGTGACAGACTGTCTACTCGCTGTATCACAAATAGATCCATGTGGATACTGGCAGGATTTAACCCTCATATATATTATAGAACATGTTTAATATTAGACTGGATATACATAGATAGGACAGATAGGATAAGATGGATAGATCAAAAAAAATAATTATTAAAAGAATAAACAATTGCTTAAAAATTTGAATTTTCAAAAAACTAATTTAATTGATCTGCCATGTTAATTAAACATATGATAATACGACTATTCCAATTCAAAGTGGACTGCATGAGAACCAGTTAGGACGTATATTGCTAAAATGTGTCACCAGTAAGCGCCCACAAACTACAAATATTGTGTGATTGTTTACAATTATTCTGTAAAATAAGACAATGAAAGTGTCTGTTTTGTTGATATCATTGTCACTGCATCATAAGAGCCATATCCAGACCTGAAATATTAAGCAAACACCACAGAACTTTGGCTGTATTCCTGACTTTAACTGCCTGAAACTTATAAAAGTGGTTGTCATAAGACTTATGTATATATATATATATATATATAGTTTACACTTCATTTATTCAAAACCTCCCCTACCGTAACACAACTAACTGTCACATACTTAAGGAAATTTCCAGACATAACTCAAAAGAAATCGATATAATTGTTGTGTTTACCTGATGATGTTGGAAACCGGCATAGGAGGCCCTTTGTCTCTGAGCTCCTGGACATTGACCACCTGAGGAACCGTCTTCAAAGTGGACTCTGTCAACGTAGTGACCACAGCTGGTACACACACACAAATGCATATGTAACCAAATCACACACAGATGGACATATATACACACACACAAACATATACATATTTTAAAAAGGAACACACCAGGCAGGTGTATTTATATGAATTTGACATATCCACGGGGATTCATGCCTGGTTTGAATTGTACTGAAACAGTTTTAGTAAGTGATTCTAAGACATGATGGGGCAAGCACTGTGCTGGGTCGTTAAGCTACCAGGTTGATATTATTTCTGGAAGTCTGTGTCTCCCCCTGGTGAATTACAGCAGGCACAGCAATACAATATTATACAAACAGCTTCATAGACACACAGTGTTGCCCAGAACAACTTAATACATCTCCCATTAACCATTTAAAAATAAACTAAGTAGTATTTTCAACTGCTCCCCCTACCTGTCTTCTGATTGGCCATCTGCCTGCGTAGAGCAGCAGTGGCTGCAGCCTGCTGGGCGGGGATGGTGACAGGGATGGTCCTCTCAGATGGTGGGGCTCCATGTTTTACCGTCTTTGTGGCGAGAGCAGTGCTGTCCGCCCCACTGAGGTTGATCTTATTGGTTGGAACTGAAATATCAATACAGCAACAGTTATGAAACAAAGCATGTGTGCTAGTGTTTGGCAGCAGTCCTCTCCTGGCTTTGAAGGACAACTTTAAAGGAATAGTTAGTGTGATTTACTCACTAGGGCTGGCAATAGGGCTCAGTCCGAAGGGTACTGGGTGGATTTTTGTTATGGGAGTTGACTGGATGGCCCCAAAGCCAGGCGCGATAGAGGGGGTCCTCACAACTATGGGGTGGCGGGGGTTGGACAATGCTGGAAGGATGACCGGAAGCGGTTCTGGCTGTAGCTCCTCCTCCTCCTCCTCCTCCAGCTCCAAGTCAGCTGGGTGAGGCTCCAGGGACTGGGACAGGGAGGACGTAGAGCTCACATCGTCCAAGTCCTCGTAGTATTTAGGTGAAAGGAAGGCCGAGCGAGACAGGTTGGCTGGAGAGAGAGAGAGAATAGACGAATAGACCAATAACCGTGGTATAGCTGTATTATGGTAATATTGTTATTTTTCTTTGCTTGACTGCTATTGGAGTCCATTTGAGAGTTTTCGTTTCACGGAATGACAAATTTAAAGTCAGTAGACCGAACTTACACAAGAAAAAATGACTTGTAACCCTTGTTAAAAATCAGTTTGTGCAGGATGTGTGTACCTGGTGCAGTTGAGCGGACAGGAGGCATCTGTCCCTTTGAGAGGAAGTTACGCAGCTGGGACTGTTTCACTGGTGAGATCTTGACTGCTGGAGAAACGTATATATGTAGTATATGCGGAAATTGAGAAATTTGATAGCCTTCATTATTTTTATACCAAAAATATATAAATGATACCTGGAGACTCGGATTTGGTTTTAGGCGGGGTGGTGTCCAGCCTGGCTTTCAGGAGTGCATCCCTTAAACTCTCAAGCTCGCTTTCCAAACTGTCATGAAACACAAATACAAGTTGTTTAGGTTGTGAACAACAACACATTTTCTAAAGAGCTGTTTGCAGTGTACTGGTGCAGATAATTACAAATCAATGTTAATGTCCCATTCCACACTGAATCTGAATAAAAATCCCTGAAATGTTCACATTCCTCCATCTCTACGACTGTTCTTTGCCAGCTCCTACCCAGCAGTTGTTTCGGTGGCGGCGCTGCGGTTTATAGTTGGAGTGGTAGTCTTGTTGTAGAGGCGCAGTGAGGCGAGTTGCTTAATCAACTGGTCCAATCTGTTCTTCTGTTGGTTGATGATGTACAGGTTGTTGGCCAGCGTGGTGAACAGACCCTCACGCCCCGGCACGGCCATGTGTCTGTGAAGAAGATCATCATTTCATAACAAATTATACTTAAACACCAAGCTTTTTAGTACCAAATTCTTAAAATAGCAGAAGCTTCGTGCTTACTTCTGCTTTTTCTTCTTCTCAAGGTGTTTCTCCCACTCCACATCCAACACGTCATTGACGTCTTCCACAGCAAACGTGGCGTACTGGTAGAGCCTGCGAATCTCCTAAATAAGGAAAGAAAAATCAATGAAATAGAAGAAATGCTAGGAGTGTGTAGGCGACTCATTTAAAAGGCTTTACGAAGAGTACCGATTCATGCAAACATTTCACCTTGAGGTGCTCCTCGCTGCGGGGGTCCAGAGGTTTTTTGTACAGCAGCTGTCTGTAGTTTCTGTCTCTGCTCAGCTCACTCTGGGCCTTGGCTTCTTCTGCACCAGCAAAGCCCTCCAGCAAGGTGGTCTTCAGTGTACCAATGTCCCCATGGAGAGACTGTAAATGAGAAAATAACATGAATTCAACTAGGAGACACCACAGCAAACGTACGACAGTGACTGCAAGACCATTGCATTGTGGGTAGGAGGCAGTTGTTGGGTGTGGGATTTAGCGAACAAGGTTTTGGTTTTCTAACCATGGTCTTACCTCTGTTGTTTCCTTAATCTCCAGGGTGAATATATGGAGGTCCTCTGACTCCTTCCTTAACTCCTTCATCTCCTCATTGGTGCCAACCTTGAAGTCAGCTCTCGCGCTTCGTGCCTTAAGATCGTCCAACTCCTTCTGGAAGTGTGCAATCTGATAACAAGCCGAAGACATGTTTAGTTATAGTTAACTTGGCAATCCTTTGTAAATGTAAGCATGACTGCTTCACGTGTGTCAGAGTCGTAGTATTAATGCAGTTACGAGTGAGCAGGAAATAGTCAATTAAGCTAACCTTACCGATGTTATTGAGTCATTTAGTCTGATGTCATTAATGCTTTATAACTTGGGGTATATTGTGCTGTTTGTGAACCAGTCTACCCAGTTTACATCATTATTATATCAGATTTTGATCAAGTGTCAGGCCAGATATGTCGACAATGATCTCTTTTACTCTACAATCTCAACGGGTCATATCTTCAGAAAACAAGCAAACATCAGTTCTGCAAGGTTAGCGCTAGCTAGCTAACCTAGCTCAGTTAGCTTACAATATGTAGCTAGCGTTCCGCTAGTATTTTTGTCCCCATATGGTTTGGGCCACGAGGAGAAGTGGTGCATGGTACTCTAGTGTGTATTGGATGATGTGTCTCACCTCCTCCAATATACCGGCCATAATGGGATCGGAGTCTTTCTTTTGCTGCAGCTGCTTCTCCAGGGCCTTCACACTAACAGCTGCCTGCACGGAGAAGTAATAAAGTAGATTAAAACTAGTAGGACACACACACACAAAAAAGCTAAAACGTCTGTATTTTTAACACAATTAACACTATGGTTCTTTAAATACTAGGGTGAGGCTCAGTGCCTTCCTACGGTGGATACTATAGAATAGGAGTAGAAGGGTAAATCTAACAATTTAATGCTTCATCCACACACGTGCTCTCTAGAGCGCCATTTTCTTTTGTACTTGTCAGATGACCACGGAAAGTGGTTCAACGTCCGTTCTAATCCTATTTCTATGGCAGATATATTTATCTTTTGACGTATTTTTTAAATAACTAAAAAGGTCTCGTCAATGTATGAACAGACAAAACCCTTCAGAATAAACAGATAGGACCTGTGGAGTTTGGACACGGCCCTGGGCAGCATTAGCAGGTTTCTGGACGACTGCGGGCGGCATGCTGGTTTGAACTGGACGCACTGGGGCTGAGACACAACCAACAGCATTAGAATCACAAGCCCGAGCCATGAAACACTTACCATTTAAAGAATTCTTTGATCAAATATCAAAGAAGAATGACTGCGGCAGGCTTACTCAATACAGCTGGTGGCTTAGCGACTGAGAGCGGAGGGGCGGTCAGACTACTGGAACTGGGAGCAACTGTTTTGGGCAGCGGGGGATTGAAGGAGAAAGACTGCGGGGACGCTGCTGGGGTCTCCAGTGCTGAAAACCTAGGGAAAGAGCAGACAGATTTTCTGAGTCTTTGTATGTATGTATACAAACTTCAATGTCTCCATTGCAATACTGTGATAAATGATGGGTCCAAAATGACTTACCTCTCATTTAAATTCAGTTTTACTGCTGATGGGGAGGCAGCAGCAATGCTCTGGGGTGTTTGAACTGGAACTGGGGCTGCCACCGCAGATGGTTTGATGGAAGGGGTGAAAGAAAATGCTGAAAGAGCGTCAGCGGCAGGTTTGGAGGCAAACGAAAAGCCAAGGGACCCCGACCCAAAAGGTGCGGGCACCCCCATTGAGAAAGGTGGAGGAGCAGAGGTGGCGCATGTCGTCGGGACCGAGAAACTGAAGCCCGATGACGGTGCTATGGACGTCGCGGGAGCAGCGGGAACCATGCTGAACGGGGCAGCGGAGAACGATGCAGCGGGGGCTGGAGGGGTGGAAGCAGCTGCTAAATGAAGACCGAGGTTCGGGAATGGTGCGAGGGCAGATGGGATGGAGGCAGCAATTCTGGGTGGTTGGGCTGCCAAAGAACCTGTGAACAGAAAAGAAAGTGGCTCTCATTTGACCTAATCACATGCTGGGCAAGTTGTGTCGACAAGACCAAGTCACTTTTCTCATGCACAAAATGTGTTGAGCCCTTTAGGAGTAAAAGCCAGCACTTCACAGTCTAGTCGAAGATGGTTTGCTTGATCGACGGGTCTCTCAGGCTGTTAAACTGAGCTGTGAAACCAAACTCCACTTAAAAATGTCCCCTTAGAAACCAACGGGTGGCATGTCAGATGATACGTCCATGAATTTGAACAGCCTTTGATGGAATCACACCAGAAAAAGGAAAATCTTGCAAACACTGACTGACAAGACTGCATTAGATGGCTATCTCTTCAGGAAATGTATCACTTCACGTCACAGGCTCTCTCACCTGGCTTGGGCAGTCTCTCCCCCTCCAAGGCGAGGACAGTGGGAGCTGAGACCAGTTGCTTAACCCCAGGATTGAGGTTGAGCAGAGCAAATGGGCAGAGCAATCCCTCCGTGGACAGCATCAGCATCGTGGGCGCTGGATGCAAGGTCTTCTCATCAGCTGTGAGAGGGTGGAAAGATGGGAGACAGACATTCAGACAGAGAAACACCATAGTCTACATGATGTGCAGAGAAAGACTTAACAGCAAGTGCTTTATGCTCACTATGCCATGTTCAAAATGCTGTTTGTGACTCATTCTGCCCCCCAGTGGTTAAAACAAGTACCCAGAGGTCAGTTCAGATAAGGGACAACCGTCCTAAGATGCCTCATTTGGTAAAGCAGTCCATCGCATCGCCCCAAACTCTTCACACCCACTTCCCTGCACTCTCCAAAAATCATGCAGTGCGCTGAAGAACCAAATGGCAAAACCCAGCCTAAACCAACATTTAAATTATGTCTGAGTGTTCACACTCCAAATTAAAGATGCATTAGTCAGAGTTGACACAAGTCATTTGAGACGCGTCAAAAAAAGTACACTTTGTCCTCTCTACAGCTTTCTCAAATCTTCCTGAAGTATAACTTCATCTGTGGGTGACAGCAGTAGCTGCTCTTCAAAGACGTTCCAGTGTTTGATTCATTACCGCTGACTCACCTCTCTGACTATTGTCCTATGCTTTACATATTTAACATGCAAAATACGTATTCATGCAAACACAGCAAATGCGTCACAAAATAAAATGATCCTAAGTTATGCACAAAATAAGCACACAACGCAGAGAACAAAACCAAAAAACAATAGCATTCTATGTTCAGTTTATGTTGTATTTCAGTTTATGGAACTAGATTCCAAAGTTAATGAGAAGTGAAAGTGGTGACAGCGAGCGAGCAGAAGGGAGCGGCACATCGTAAACCTCATCAGCATTCTGCAACCGGATCGTCTGGGCTTTGTTGTTTGTTGTGGTCCTCTAGCTTGCCTGAGACATTTTAATGAGGGCATTTTTTTTTCTCCAACTCTTGTTTCCCTCCCCTCACTTTCCCTTTCTAACGTCTCACTTCAGATGAAGGTTTTGATCAGACTATAATCATGTCAAAATGTTGCTTCAATTGCAGGTTGTTGTTTTCTTTGTTTGCTGGGGAGGGAGTTCTTGGAGTGACGGGGAGAGATGGGGCGAGACAGCAACAGCAGCTCTACGTGAGCGTCTGGCAGACGAAGGCATTTAAGATAGAACAGTGTACTGAGACGGCAGCTTATCTATATTCTTTACACACGCTGCAATGCAGCACTGCAGTGGATGCTGTATGCACCAAAGAAACCTGATGGATTTCAGCCTCATCTGATCATTAGGGGAGTATTGAACATAACTTTAACTTCATAGCTAAAACAGACTTTACTAGGCTCCACAATTGGTGTTATTTCGCCAAAATTGGTCAACTGACCACCACCTTTAGTGTCGGCTTTGCCAAAGGGAATTAAAGACAACCATTGGGGGAAAGTGCAATCGTATTGTGTCAATGTGCAAATCTGGTCAGGCAAGTGAAGAGAGTGACTTACTGATGTGGATCTCCTGCTGGCTGGTGAGGTCTATGGCTAAGCCGAGGGGCAGAGTGTCTTCATTCGTCTCGGTCACTGGAAGCTCAGCCCGACTCGCGTCTTCCAGGATCCAGAGCTCCCAGTTCTAAAAAGGACAACGATCAGTCATGGTCATCAGTCTTTGAACAAGTCGAATTCTACACTTAAGACCGAAGATAACACTATTTGTTTTGTAGTGGAGACCTCATACAGTAAATTGGAAAAACTTCAGGATATCCACAAGCTGTCCTTAAGAAGGCTAGTTAAGCAATCGGCATTGGGTTTGTTGACTGTATGTGGGGGAAGCTCTGCTAGCATAAATTATTTGAAAGTGGTTTTAGTGAGAAGAACTTTGTAGAGCAGTTATGTAACTCTCTTTGACACTTTGGAGCATGTCATAATGCAGGGCTCAGGGCTCAGGACTCATGCTTTACATTGGACAACTCTTTAATTTAGGTGCACCAACATTTTTCACCTCCCCTTGTTGTGCCGCAATACCACATTTAAGGGCCTGTGTCCATATAACGTTTTGTTTTTTTTCTCAAAACTATACGGATCTTAGTTTACTTCACTCCTGGAATTTAAATGGAAAAATACACCTTTCATTTCTAGTTATATTACTAGTATAGGTACCTTGTCCTCTGGTCTGGCGGCTATGACGCTGACTTCAATGGAAGCCGCTGATGCCGCAAACACAAGGTCCCTGGATGAAATAAATAGATGAAGCAAAACATTACACCAATTCAACATGACACTGAAATAAATCAAACTTAAGCTGATAAACAACACAATGATCGTGCTTTTGGGTGGCTCCTCTAAATGGTGGTCATTCTTACCAGTCCTCCACATGGCTCAGAAAGTAGTGGTGCTGTCGCTCAGTGCAGCTGCCGTACACCGTGTCACTAAAGTTCAGATACTTTGTCTCTATCTTCTCATCCTTCTTCTACAAAAAACAAAAACATAAACAAATCACACTTCAACACATTTGCTTCATGTACATTCACACGCTGGAACAACAGATGAAACGTCTGTTTCTAGCTGCTTAATAGTTTAATTTTACCAGAAAGAACGCCACCACAGATACTGAGAAGTACATGCTGGTCATTAGACATCCAGCTGTGATTTAAAATGTTAAAATACTCAGCCACACAGTTGAAATGAACATGGAGACCTCAGTAGCTCTATGAAACCAACAACAGCCTTATACTGTATGGCTCAGCCGTCATTTGCATGAAGCGTCCTACTCAAATTACAATACTTACAGAGGCGCATGAGAGCTGCAGTAGCAGCCTATATGTGCCTACAGAGCCACTACACAAGAATACGGTGACAGCACAAAGTGTGTGGCCTTCAAAGCTACAATATAGAATCTGGCAGAGCATCTAATGCTACACTGGTTTCTTCACCTTGCTGTTGTGGCCATGTGGAGAAAATATCTTCAATCAAACACGAAACATTCACGTGAATTTCAAAAGGAAATATATTTAACTTCATTGAAGACTGGAGGGGTGAAACCCGACAATAACCCAAATGTGATTGGGTGGAGTGTGGATGTACGGCGTACTCACAGGAAGGGAGATCAACACTAGCTCGGGAGGGGTCTCCAGGGACCCATCTGCAGCAGCGTAAACCACCGCAAACACAAAGGTTCTCAGCCACAGCACATCCAGAACTGTGAGAGACAACGGGAAGGAGAGGCATTAGCCGCAGATGGGATTCAAACACAGTCATGAAAGTCAAACTAAATGACGTAACATGTATTATACTGGTTTTATATGCATTTCATAATCAAGCTCAGTTTTCGGGCGTACAACACAGCTGTTAACACGTTTTTATTTGTCTTACCTTTGACAGGTTGGTCAGAGGTGTAGAAGTGTGGACATGGGATACATTTTTTCTCTTCCAGTGCCTTTTCAGAGGAGGAGAAAGTCAGTTATCCATCTTGTCAGTCATTGAATGCTGCAGCTCTGACGGAGCAATGAGTGCTTTATTCTTAATCACGGTGATTTAGGTTCACTTACTGGTGTATACTGACTGACTGTGGAATTCATTTTTCCTGCAGCGACTTGTTTTCCTTTTGGACTCCAGCAAACTGTGTGAAACAAAGTACATTAACTAAAGATATAAGGAGAACAGGTGAACTCAACTAGTATGTGCAGTCTCCCACTTACTACATGTGATGCCGCTTGAAGCTGGTAGCTCAGCCTGCACTCTGACACCGTCGGTAACATCCAAAATCATCAAACGGCCGTCAGACAGAGAGGCAGCCAACATGGACACCTGTCCAGGATTCCACTTCAGGTCTTGCACTACAGTGCCGGGGGGTACTGCTGGCAGTAAGGATGCAAATGGCAGCTTCTGTGGTCTCGCCTGGAAAGGCAAAAATAAAAGATGAATAAATGAACATCGGGGAAAGAGAAGTAGTCACATTTAAAATGTAGACTATGCCCATCTGCAGTAGAGGTTTACAAACTTTGGATTCATGAATTTGAATTGAATTGAATTTTAAATAACTGCTGAATGTGTTTTCTTAATGTTTGGGGCTGCTGCACATAATTGGATAGCTCTGGATGATAATGTCAGCTTAAAAAGTTCACCAAATGTCCATTGGAACAGAGTCAGCACATCGGACAAATACTTAGTGGAGGATCGTGGTGATCCCGAGACCTTCAGTGCTGCACAGCTAGCCGATCTTCAACCATCTGTTCATGTTTGTTAAGTAAACAAACACATATAAATACTAAAGCAGTCACCTTGTTCACGAAGGTGCGGACGTCATAGAACGTGAGGGACAAGCCCGCCCCCTCAGACATGCCACACACTGACAAAGTGAGTTCATCACAGCTGAGAGCCAAGTGGTGCAGAGCCAGTTCCACAGTCACCTCCGCCAACGCAGCTCTCCCCTCGACTAGAACAGAAGAGGAACATTTGATTGCATTGTGGGAAAGAGACATGGGAAACTAGATTGGATAAATATTCAAATTAAAAACTGTACGGTCACACGCATACTTATTTCGTTGGCGTTGCCGTCAAACGTATCAGCAGACAGGATGTCTCGTGTTTGGTAAACTTTGAATGTTCTGTCGAGCCCGACGAAAGTTAAACCAAATTTGTTCGAGATGGTGAGCAGACTGCTTCTTTCTCTCGGCAAATCTTCAGCAGGGTCAAAGACTCTCGTTTTCTTCATCTGACGAAACTGAAAATCCTGAAGAAGGAAACACACAAGTACTGATTGTTACTTTAGGGTGAACAGTTAGGGGTGGTTCACGTTATGTGGTTCCAGTTCAATAACTGCAAACTAAACCGTACCTCCCTCTAGGATGAAATGCAATACAGTACAAGAAACATTTCTTTAACTGTGGGAAACATGAAGCGGGCTGCTTTGCTTTTAAACAAGTAGCTGACCTACTTTCAACTTGACTGGTTGGTGCACAACTCGGGTAACGTTAAGTGACGCAGAGTCTCAAAATGAAAGTTTAAACCTAGGTTGACGCAGGCACGTCACGTTAGCTAATGATGCTAAGCTATATCTTAGTTACTGAACTTGACAAGTGTTAAATGTCTTAATTTCACACACACAGGACATTGTTAAGTCCCATGCTGTCACGTTAACGTTCAACTCTTTAATGAGGCTAACGTTACAAGATGTGGCGGATGTGCTAATAGCTAACGTGTTAGCATAAGTAGCTGGCTACAACGTCAGAAGATAAAAGTAGGTTTTTCTTTACTTTTAAGCGGTTACCAACGTCTCTAACTGTTATTGTGTCCAAGTTAATATGGCTCCTTAACGTTGTATGCTTTGTGGTGTAGTTATCTAAACGGAAAACATAAACCAGGCCAGCTAGCCAACCAGCTAAGCTAGCCGGAACCATAGAACTCAGTGCGAGCTAACATTAGCTCACACGTGCTAACTTGTCAACACAACTTGTGGATAACGTCATACCTTCATTTCCCTCTCAGGAGGGGAGTCTGTGTCGTCACTCATTTTGAGGGACAGAAGCTATTGCTTCTCCTGTAGATCTCTTGTATTTTGTTTATTTTCTCCTCGTCTGTATCTGAGACAATTTTCCGATCAACTTTTAGTCTGTCAGCGCAGCTGAACACACGCCGCGCGATTTTGCCATAGAAAAAACGTCACAGCTACGCAGGATGACAAGTAGATCCCAGAGCACCCTGAGCCCACACGAGCTCGACTACACCTCCTCTACAAAATGGGGACAATTTCTGGCATATTTTTGGAATAATGTAGGGTACTATTTAAAGACAAACACAAAATAGATCAAGCTCCAATGCAGATTTAAAAAAAGAAGAATTTATGAAGAAATTACGTTAACAAATTTCCCCCCAAAACACTATTACCAAGCCATTACTCCACTTTTCTGTCCTGCGAGGATTAGGTTAATATCAATCTAATAACAAACACTTTGCGATTAAATCAGTCAAATAACATTTAACAAATAGGATACCACAGAGGCCTCGTAAACTAAACTTTAAGCACAATTAAATTGCTTTTCCTCAAATGGAAATTCTAAATAGACCAGGACTGAAATCTTAAGGATTGTGATTAACTAACTTTTGTCAAGATGATGTGATTTCCCTCCTTGAAAATGTCCTGCTATATTTTATGTGAATCCAAATGTAAGCATTTCCATAATACATCACAACTTGCAAACACTTTTCAAACAAGGTTGAAATGAGATCCTCTTGTGTAAAGGGTATTTGTGATCAAATATTGGTATTGGTCAAATCCCTGAAGGTACACAGCTTTCTTATAGAAACAACCTAATAGCATATACAAACAGAGACAAAAGAAAGAGGAGGGCAGTATATGGTGAAGTAAGGACTTTTATTAGAAAGCAGAGTTTTCTGTATTGCATTTAAAGAAATCAGGTACTCCTGGACTACACAACTGAAACTGGTGATGGCAAATACCATGATGGGAATGAAAGGTAGATTCTTATGCAACATCAAAAGTGGCAACTTGCATTTCTGTTGTATATATTATTGATGCTTGAGTCAGAAGGCGCATAAACATTTTAACATTTTTCATTTGAAACATAAAGCAGTATCAACACTGAAATTGTCCCATCCCAGTTTGCCTGGTCCAAGCCCTGTCGATAGTGAAGAACGTTGCCACGATCAAAGTGTAGGGTTGCATGATAAGACCTTTTGCCATATGGACTATTGTCCATTGAGAGGTTACCAATTAGCCCAGACTTAGGATCAAGTCCGGCACATGCTTATTATTAGAGCGTTACAGATGTGGTCCATGTCAACATAGGACAGCTCTGTTCACGAAGCACCAAGGTATCAGTCAAACATCAGTCAGTCCTCCTTGCAGAGACACACACTTATAACCAAGAAGGCTCGAGTTTATCATGTCCCTCCCCTCCGGAAAGTAAGCTAGCACAGACCAAAGCGAGCTGGAGAAAGACAAAGCAAATAGCAAGAGCACAGCAATTCATGTCAGATCTCCCATAATGCACTTTGGGTCTCATCCCTATTGTGATTGTCAGCGCTCTGAACACATGGCTTTAAAAGTTGCGGTTTCTCGTTGTTCGCCAAACCCTCGGTCACTCTTTCCTACAATTTTTCTAAGTAGTTCTAAAGTGCTGGCATTATGTTCAAGGACACATACATACAAACTTTTAGTGCATTTTTTCTGAGTCTGCTGAAAGTTCAAATGCACACTCAACTGGGTAGTTAGTCTATGAATTCCACTCTTAATCACTACTTTGCTGTCATAATTGTTTGAACTTGACACAAACAGTCAATAAAAGGCCTGGGTGTGTGATAAAAATACAACCCTACTCATCGCAAGACTCCAAAGTCTTTGTTTGCCAACAGTGACAACAGTTATTCAGCTTAAATTACATGGTGCATAAAGATCAGAGGTTTCATTGGGTTAGAGTGAGTGTCTGAATGGCATGCATTTTTATAATACAAGTGTCTCTTTTGCATATAAATGTTTTGTTTTCAGAATAAACCAGTCAATGGAACAAAACTGTGCCCATCAGATTCTACAGTAATGGGGATGAACGGAGCACTACGTAAGGTTTTAGAAAGTAAGTAACAATTTATTTGCAAAGAAATGTTTGTGAAAACAGGTTATTTTCAACCAACAATCCCATTCTATCTATTTTCTTGTTATTTCCAACGATCATCTAGGTGAATGGCAGATATTGCAAAAGACAAGTTTCTGTCATTAAATTTAAAACAAAATTAAAAACAATCTCAACTACAGAGTTTTCTGTGAAGGAGACACTGGTTCAATCAAAATATATTTGTAAAATACATAACATTACATACATTTTACATGACTTTTTGCTTTTAGCCACTTCAAACAGTTCACCCTTCCCAAGGCTTAGCCGTGACATTCTCTGAGAATATCTCAGTTTATAGTGCAACATCATTCAATTTTAAATCCACCCTGCGCAAGAGAAATAGACCTTAAGCAGAAGAGAAGCCAGAGAAGTTTTTCCTAAAAAGGTTGGAATTTTTTGTTGGCTGGGACAGAGTCGGAAATATTTAGCTTGAAGGCAGACGAACAGTGAAAAAGCTGAAATGTGAATGCAGAGGGAAATAAATGTTTATGCACGTGGGATTATTTAGTGAGGACTATTCCAAAGTGAAGTCTCTCAATGGCCTCATCATCAATTTCAACACGGGAATGCAATAGATATAATTTTAAATACTTTTTTTGGAGGTCTGTCAATTGTATAAATATTGTGAGGATGTCAGTCAGGAGGTTGTTGCTGATTAGCTGTTGAATGCATCTAAGTACAGTAAATCTGTTATGAGTTCAACTGGCAAACATAAAGTGAGAAGATGAGTGAATGCAATATTAAATTATACTGAGCAAAGGTTCTTTGATTCTAATTTTAGAAACGGAAAACATCAGTCAATGTCTGTATCCTACCCCTACATGTACTTTGTCTTGTTCGTCTCCGATCATAAAGGTTCACGTCACAACAACATCCACACAGTCACAGTCTAAGGCACTGCTCCACGCCCCTTTATCCCTACAGGGGAGTATATCAATGTTCCCCACCCTATATTATTTACTCACCCATTTGAACTGGAGTTTATTTCATATTCCTCAAAGTTAAAAGTAGTGGCCGTGCAACAACAACAAAAAAATTGCCTGTAAAAAAAAAAAAAAAAGAACCAAAAGCAAAAATGGATTGTGCATGAGCATACAAGGAGAAAATAGAATATAAATAGATATGTCAGCACAGTTTAATAGTAGAGTACAGGTTTCGATTTTTTGGGGCAGCAGGCTTACAAGCTATTTTGTGATCTGAAGTAATAACTGTGAATTTGGTTGACTTCCAAAATGATGTACATTTTGGGAAGACTGTTACCTTAGTTGACAAATCAGAAGTGCAGGTGATCTCATAAAGTCCAGTAATAAAGAATATCTTTATTTTTCTTGTAAGCAACTTTAGGAACCGAAGCTCAATAAATTAAAAACAACATAAAGATATAATTTGTTGAATCTTGAAGTCTGTACAGATTTGTGAACAAATTACGAGCTTGTTGGGATAATATAGAATAAACCATGGAGTATAAAAGCATCACCAAGTTTACTATGTCAGAGAAATACTCCCTGCTGTTCACTACCTTGGAAGACCAGTTTAAAAATCATTAAATCACTCAAATTTAGGCTTGAACATCATACAGCCTCATGCAATTGAGGACAAAGTGAGTCATGTAAAAAAACGAGTATTTGACCATTATTCAATCAAGGCTTGGACCCCTCCCCAAAGCAGTGCTACAGTTTACATTCACTCATCATCCCAGTCTTTCTATCACAGCCCTGTTTCATCTATGGTGGATCACAATTACTCCAAAAGAAAAAGAAGAAACCTAGATACTGTAAACGTTAATATTATTATTACCTAGTGCAATTATAACTCTGTTTCTTGTGCAGAGCCATCTTACAGCTTCTTCTAAAGAATCTGACAGAAGTCACGTAAACACAACCTTTGAGCACCGCACTGAAGCAGAAACAAACGGATCAAATATCTCGGGCATATACTGTATTTTTTTGCTTGGTTGTTGGCTTATGCCATCAATTTTTACAGTTGAAAAGTGGTAATTTTGCCAATAACTTTGGGGCTCATTCAATTTGATGGTCTGACCTTGTGATTCAATGTGCTTTGACGCGAAAAACAAAAAACATACAACAGTGTATCTCTTAAAATCAATGCACAAAAGAATAAAGGAAGGTTGTTTGGACTATGTCCCTATACGCGTGGCAGAAAGCATGAACAGCAGAACAGATATCAAAAAAAAAGAAAAAGAAAATGAGTATGACACATACAGGTTTTTGACCCTGTTAGACATTGCTTCACTCCGCCCCCTTCCGAAATATAGAAAGTTATCTTTCAGAAAGACCTCTCTTTTGTCTTTACAAACCCACAATCTTCTCATCAAATAAACAATCAGGGTGATGTGGAGGACATTTTCAGTTTTTAGTACAGTCACATTTTGCCTAAACTCCTTAGTTTCCCACCCTTTGACGTCGAGTGCAAATGCAATAAGCCAGCAGAAATTGCTCTTATAAGTGTTATTCAATAATTTACCCCCCCCCCCCCCCCCAACCCCACCCCAGGAAAAAAAAAAAGAAAAAAGAAATAAACAGGATGGAAGCAGGGCCATGTAGTCTCGGTGCCATTAATCACACCACCACATCAAGGTGAAACAGTGCTTCTCTCTTCTACCGCTCAGTGTAGTGCGCTTCCTCCTACTACTCCATTAATTCAATCTCCTCTACACGTGGTGACAGCACGCCCCAGAGTTAGAAAAGACAAAGTAATCGGTATTGTGTGAAAGGCAGTCGATCCCGCGTCACACCCCAGTCAGTTCCGGACACGTGTCGGACTGAGGTCACATCCCAGTGAGAAATGGAAAGAAGTCCTTGAACGGCATATCTGGAGGCAACAGTAGCTGTTTGCTTATTTAGATGCAGGTTTGTGGCTTTGTTGATGTTTGCAGTAATTCTCTGTATCCATTGTTTGTATTCATGCATGCAAGCTTGGGTTTTAGTGCATGTTCTTGTCCGTGTCTCTCTCTTTATCTCCAAGACAGAATGATGTAATCGAAGAGGATTTTTTTTTCAAAGATGAAAAGCACTGTTCAAATTTTTTTTTTTTGGGACAGTGAATATTTTTCCTGCTTCGATGCAGATATTAAAGGCCAAGTATCATAAGGTGTGAAATGTGCACATATGCGTGTGTGGATCTGTATGTGTGTGTGTGTGTGTTTGGAAGGGGCGGTCTGGAGCAGACACAGGCATCACATTGACAATCTAATCCAATATGTCACGGCCAGATATGCATGAAAACCCAACTCCATGTGATAGATTATTTGTTGGATTGTCAGGAAGTCTTTAGCTTTCCTAAAAAATGACGTGGCGCTTTAACACAAAGGAAAATTGTTCTGTCTAACGATGGTAATGCAGTAGATGACCTTTAATTATAATACAGGCGTCGTTATATATTCATACATATTTATCATACAACAAATAAGCCGCTTTTTAAAAGAGCTTCGGTTTTTTTTCAAAGGTTGCTTGGGTAATTTTTTTTAGATGTGGCAAAAAAACAAAAAACAATCATTTTATAAACCATTATACCACAATCCATAAACTGCCAGCAAAGGCGCCATTGCTTTTGTAAAACACTTGAAATTATGAATCATTCCAGCAGTTTGTTCTGCTATCAGGTCTTTGACATATTGCTGCAGGAGCCCGAATACTGAGTAAATACCGAGTATACTAAGGAAAGGGTGGAGCAGGAAGGGTGGATTTTCTTAATGTGCTAATGCCATGCCTGTGTCTACATTTTTTTATGAATAATCTACTTCCACTATCAGTAAGTATGCGTGGACACGAGCACACGGGTGCGCATGCATGTGTGACAAATTCCTGTATAGTAAGATCTACGAGCGCAGCTTCTTGTGCCGAATAATTCCCGTTGAGGAAGCACAGAGGAGAAGAAAGAGTGGTGGACGAGATGTTAGAGTAGGAGAGCAAGCCAAAGAAAATGCGGTGTTAAAACAAATTTCCCAACGTGAGCGGCAGCCCGAAGGGACATTCACTGTCCGTTCACCCTCAGACCTTGTCCAAAATTTTCCACTTCCTGCTCTGGCGGCGTGTCGCCAGAATTGCCTGCCTCAGCTCCTGGGATCAAAGTTGGCGCCCCCAGTGATCCGTCCGCACCTTCTAGCCCAGCATCATCCTCATCTTCCTCCTGATCCTCCTGGACCACTCCCTCGCCTTCACCTTCAGCCTCTGCTCCAGCTGCCCCAGACCCGGGGCTGCTGTCTGCCAGCGGTGGGTGAGTCCTGAGAGGGTCCTTGCGATCGGGATACAACCTTTGGTCTAGGGCCTTGAAGTCAGGCTCGAAGGGGAGGGATACCCCTGGTTGAGAGGCACTAAGCGCCAGGCCCAGACCCACAGCAGCACCCATGCCCATTCCTGCACGGTACACCTCCATTCCGTCAGGCAGCATCGACTTGATCTTGGGCAACCATCGCTTGCGGACACGCCTCGCATTTGTGCACATGTCAGCAGCAATCACATTCATTTCACTCTCCTTGAAGTTAGGGTTGAAATTTTGACAGTAGACTGTGAAAGAGAGAAAAAACAACAAACTCCATGTTGACAACTTGTGCTCTTTTGCAATTCTATCCCATATATCTGATGATTTAGACAGTGAACCTACGTTTGACAGCGTTGAGGACCCTGCTGTCCAGGGGTTTCCTACTGGGGTCACTAGTCGAGGAGCGGATACCTGTCCCACAGCTATTGGCTAAAGTGTTTCTGCAGGGACACAGAGTCAACACCAGGGGGCAGAGTCAGCAGCAGGCACATACAGTAGACAAACATGGGAACACACACACAACCAACCGCATTGCACAACATGGCCACAGATGGAGTGTGAAAGTTGGTTTGAGACAACAGCGGCAGTGTTGGAGTTGTACAAATAACTCAGATCTTACAGTAAGCCCTTAAAGACTCGTACAAACTGTTCTCCTTAGTTGTGCATATCTTTACACTCACCTATCGAAGAACGTGGCTAGCAGACGGCGAAGCAAGACTTTGTGTTTGATACCAGCACATAGATGACAATTCATCAGCTGTCCTCGAGTCATGAACACCTGTGTACCTGGTGTAGGAAAAAAAATTAAAAAAAATAAAAATTAAAAAAAAAAAGGATTTGCTGAGAAAACTACTCGTATTACAATCCATTTGTCTTTTCACATTCTAGGGCTTTGTCCTTTTTCTCTTTGGCCCTATTGCCAGTTGATCTTTTATTCTTCTGCTACAGTTTGAAATGAATGTTCAAGGATATCTTTCACGCAGGTAAACAAAGCTCCAGCTGTGACAAAGTAAAATCAGAAATCGGGAGAGGAATTTATGTTGAAGGCCATAAAAACAGCACACTATTAAATTACTTGGCACTGCTTTCTTTTGAAAAGCATCACTTTCACATTCATGTATTGTATTCTGTATCTTTCATGCCGACTATGTAACTGAATAATCTGTTATGTTCTGCTATGTTCCATTGTGTTTCTAAATTACATCAGAATCTGATAGAATCTGCAGCATGCGGTAACTTTTTGACCTCTTGTACCAGAAAGTTTTTTAAGTGATTACTGACTCCAACTTGCAGTGTTCAGGCTCTGTTCTTTTGTCTGAAAAGATTCAATACTAAATTGATTAAACCTCCTTTATATGAATTACATTATCTACATGTTGAATGGTACCTGGTCTCTTTGAAAGTCTCTGGTCTGACCGCTAAGAGCGATGTCTGGCAGTCACACCAAAGAGTTCAGTTTTTGTTTCATCATACCAAAAAAAAAAAATAGATATATTGTTCTTCATGCTCTCAGAGCCCTGTAAGGGCCATTTGGCAAACTCCCAGCAGGCTGTCATATGCTTTTTACTCTAGAGTGACTTCTGTCTCGTCACTCTACCATAAAGGTCTGATTGACGAGTACTGCAGAGATAGTTGTCCTTCTGCCACGGTCCTCAATCTCTGCAGAGAAGCTCTGCAGCTTTGTTCTGTCCCTTTCACATCACCACAGTGATGTGGCTCAAAACTACCATGGCGGCCAATCAGAATCGAGGGTCAGACGCTACTAAACGTTGTTTTCATTAGTGATGAGAAGTCAATTGAATGTTATTGATGTCCTTCAAATGGTTTAACCAAAATGTCCTAATTATATGGCTTAGCGCTAATTTATTTTAGAGCTAGAGTCCAGTCGCGGTGAAAGGTGATGAGTAGAGATCTCTGACGGCAGTCTCATACGGGTCAAATACAGGTCTCTTGCATAAAAGGGTAAGAGTCACTCGGATGTGGGGAACCTCCCACAGTTACTGATTTTTTTGCGAATAAGCGGCTCTACACAAAAGCCTTGATTTGAAAGGTTTTCTGTTTCACCTGCAGTTCTCTCATGTCCTGTATTTCACATCATCAGTTTTATTTGACCAACAATTGAATTTTAAATGATCTAAATGTGCAAAAGGGTGGAAGTAGGAATACTTTTCAAACTCACTACATACAAGTTACTCTCTGCATGTGTGCACGTGGTCAAATGTGAGCAAGTCAATGCGCGTGAGTGTGTGTGCGTGCCTACCAGCTACCAATTCCAGCTTCTCCCCAGGGTCCCCCTCAGTGTAGAGCTTAGGGTGGCAGCGGTAGCCTATCTGGCTGATGAGGCTCGCAGGCAGCGCCACCAGGTCCCTGCGGATCAGCACACAGTTGCGGCTCTCCAAGGCCAAGGGCATCGCTGCCATCTCTGGCTTCTCCTGGACTGATAAAAGCAAGCGAGAACAGAAAGGGATACGAAAGCTTTCGTTACAACAGCAAAACAGAAGCAGATAAATATGGATGCGTCCAGATAATTACTATAAACTACGAAAAACAACTAGCATCCATACCCTTCCGTGCCCTCTATCTAAAGAGAGGCTACACACTTTAATTAGTAAAGCAGGTTTGTGTAATCTCAGACAAGCTTGTTGTGTTTCAGAAATGTTTCAGAGCATTGCAGATGTATCCCAGATAAGTCATGATGCTGCATCCGCAACTTGAGTTTTTGGACGGGGGACAGATCCGAAGCTGGGTGTTAGGTTCTTACTCACAAAATGATTTCCCCTAACCTCTGGGATGACTTGTGAGAGTATGCACATGCACGCACCTCCTGTGCACGCACATGTAAACACAAGCACGTGCACACACACACACACACACACACACACACACACACACACACACATAGAGAACAGGAGAAATACATCTTTTAAATGTCCTGCACATGCACCTAGTGCATCTAGAAAAGTTTGATTAACGCATGTGCATTCACACTTAAACCTACCACACACGCATACACACAGGAAAGACGTGCATGGTTCTCAAATATCCCACAATGTCACCCTGGGGTGCTCTGATTGCAGATAGAGTGGTTTTCATAAATATCTGAAACTCTAGAATTTGACAAAGCTGCAGGATGTGTGGTGTGTGTGTGTGTGTGTACACATGCGTACGTGAGTTTATGTGTGAATGCAAACACAAGTGTGAATATACTGTAGCATCTATGCCTGTATGTGTAGGCAAACCTGCACCGACATGAAAACTATAACAAAATGCAGTACAGACCAGCTGTTGTAGCTGTGATAAGGAGGGTGTTGTTGGTCACGATGCACTCCAATCATAACTCCATAAAGCTATCTTTATGCTGAGAGAACCCACACACACACTGGAGGCACAACATCCTGCTTTTTCAAGATGCTCAGGATACATGATTTATGAAAGATTCAATAATGGAACTGGGATGAAATGAATGTGCATCAGTCTTTTTCTTTCTGGACAATGAGGAACTCTGTTCCATAAATCGGACATTCACGGGTGTATACAGTATTTCTGCAAGTCATGTCGAGTTTTACCTTTCTGTCGGTCTGATATCAAATTAATTTCCCCCATCTGAGCCAAAGGCAACTGAGAAAGTAATTCACTTACTCAGATCTTACATGAATAGATTTTGAAGATATTGGTGAGAGAATATTGATGCCGGCTTGACATTTAAATTGTCTTGTTAGCATTTTCTCATAACCGACTTTAATTGCTGGAGTTTAGAAGTAAATACTATAACAGCAATGAAATATTCTTGCTCGTTTGTCGTAAGATACCAACGTAACAGTAGGTTTTGACTTTAACTGAGAACATAATGTATTTTTAGAAGTTTTTAATGATGACAAATATTCAAGAGTAAAGCTTCAGCGATGAGTGCTCTGCACCAAATACACCAAAAGCACTGCAACACTTCACGAAAGATTTCATAAAAGCATCAATTCAACATAATACTCACTCCCGTAAGGGTTAGCTGAACGCCCATAGAGATGACTGTAGGAATCCTCTGTGATCCCATCATAGGGCTCTTCCTCAAACTCCTCATCCTCATTCTGGTAGGATGTAGGACTGTCAGTGGTTGGCAGGCTGGACGCTCCAGGACTGGACCTCTCAACTCCGGCTCCTCCTCCTGTTCCACCCCCACCGAGTCCTTGAAGGTGGTAAGAAGGCAAACCAGGGATGGCGGTCCCACCAGCCGTCGTGTAGAACAGTGAACTGGCCCTCGCCAGCCGACTCCCCAACTCCGAAGACGAAATCTTGCTTTGCGCCAAATGTGTTGTCAGGGGCGTCGGGTCGCCCCCTTCTAGTTTAATCTTACGTTGCGACATGAGTAAGGATGGAGACCAGCCCGGGGTTCCCAAAAGGGCAGCCACTGCTAGCCCGTTTCCATTATTACAAGGACTCTGCGGCTCGGATCCTGTTTCCTCTAAAGACCCTGCTGTTTGCGAGTCACAGTGAGGTGAGTTTGCCTTGAACATTAGGTCCATGCCTCTTTCAACTATATGCTGAATCTGGAGGTAGCCAGCTGTGTACATGACCACCAGCTGTTCACTAGCTGCCATTGTTAGCTTCCCTGTATAGCAGAAAGTGAGGATCTGCTCAAAGCAAGCAGGTGTGACTGAGGAGGGCAACTCAAACTGGCTCTTGGTGGAGCTGCTGAAGAGGTCACGAAAGTAGAGGCTGCTGGCAGCCAAAACGGCCCGGTGGGCTTTGAAAGCCTGACCTGGTTGATAGAAATAACAGAGAACAGAAAGAAAAAATAATTGATACACAAAAATTCTAGAATCTTTTCAAAGTTACTGGAACTAAAATAAGATTTCCTACGCACAAACCTTTGACCAGGATGGATACATCGCAGTAGTGTCCCAGCAGGCGCTGCTCATTAAGGGAGCCCAGAACTGTGGCTCCAAAGTTTGGGATCTCCACATGGAGCAGCTGGGACATGTTGGCCACAGAGGAAGAGGAAGGTGGGGTTTCAGATATTCAATGCAGACTCCGCCACTGAGAGAGGCATCTGCAAAAAGAAGGAATGTAGAATGCGTCGGTTAAACGAAATGCAGTGACAAGGAAGGAGTGCAAAGACAAAGCGTGAAAGAGGAAAAGACATGCCAGAGGTATAGGCAGAGAGGCGAGAAGGGAACATTGAGAGAATCTTAAAATGAAGGGAAAGAGCAAGAAGGAAAATAGAGTTGAGATGAAGTGAGAAAATGAATACGGTTGAGGGAGAAGTGAGAGGTGTGTGAAAGCGAGATGGATAAGCAGAGATAGTGGGTGAGACAGTAGAGAGAAAGGAGGAGTCAAGTCAGTCCACATAGAAAAGAAAAACCAATACAATGCCGTGCCTAGTGTACATGAGGACATTGTGAAATACCTTCAGGCTATGTTGTTTTAACTCGACTTAAATTCCCAAAACCTTGAACTCATTCCATGTATTGCACTTAGTGCATCAAGCTCGGACTTTGCCGACCTGTAAATCTGCCTTCACAACAACTTTTCTAAATGGAAGGAAAACCACACCGAATACAACCAGTTTTTCATGTCGGAGTTTAGAGATACTTCTTGATTTTGCTGACTCGTTCTACCGTTGTCAGCATTTACCCCCTTTCTAAACCTGGAAACCAAACAACCCAACACAACTCACGCCATACACACAATCTCCCACTAACTTTGATTTCATCCTTCTCAGTGAAATACTCCCGGCATGTTTGCGCCATCTTTCCCTCCCTGAACCTTGTGTCATTGTTTTGTTTTTTTCTCCCCACCAACCCACACACACAAACATATACGCACTGGTTTCATTATTAAGCAATGCTGCAGAACAGTTTCCAGGAATACAAACTGAAAAAAAATGTCACCGCCTCTCTTGCTAACACACACTCTCTCGCTCTCTCTCTCCCACCTCATGCACTCCATACAGACAAGCATGCACTCTGGCTTACTTACATAAAAGTGTAAACGCCTAAACGCCTAAACGCCTAAACACACACACACACACACACACTCACACACACTCACACACACACACACACACGTAGACTACAGGCTGCATAGGGAAATTACTGTGTACTCTGGCACGCAAGCACTCACCTGGGGAAACCAGCACACGACACTCTCTCTCACATGCACAAATGCAGAGAAAAGCGCTCACTGTTATCCCAGACAGTTCTGACCTGTGTAAGCCAGTCTTCTGGTTAAAACACACCATGGAGCCTTGGCAATCGCTAACACACCCGCAGCAGCCGGGACCAGGACAGAAGAGGAGTAGTTAGAGATGGAAGGAAAGCACTCTGATGTACTCCGTCTGGTCGACTCTCTCGTTCACTTAAAGTGTCATTCCCACTGTCTTGAAGATGATTCTCTCCCTGCTGTCTGACTGACTTTTCCTCTGTCTGTCTTCCCCCGGCCTATCCTCTATCTCTATATCCTCCAAAGCCCCATTCTCTTTGCTCACTGTCTGCCCTAGCGCTGTCTCAAAGCCTCCCTCTGCTTCCCTGTCATTATCTCTCTCCGTTTCTCTCCCCTCTCTCTATTCTCCAAGGGTTGAATTCAACAAGTGCCGCTGTAGAGAGAGAGAGAGAGAGAGATAAAGAGAATGGGGAGGGAGAAGGAGAGCAGAGCAGAGCGAATCAATGATGAAAGGAGTGGGAGGCTCACTGTGCGAGTGTGTGTGTGCATGTGTCTGCGCGCGTGTGTCTGATCAATGCAGTATCTATACGTCGCAGGGAGTGGGAGGGAGAGAAAAACACAGGCTACAGTTACAGACAGAGACTGGGCAGAGCTAGAGAGAAGCAACGGAGGGAGGGAGGCAGTGAGGGAGGGGAGAGTTGAGACAGAGAGAAAGTCATTTGAGGACAGTACGAGCAGAGAAAGACAATTAGGTTGAAGCAACTTCTGCCACTTGCCCCTGGACACAGATGCCTATATGGTCCAACAGAAAGGGGGTGGATGACTAAGACAAAAGAGAAATGAGAAAAGCTTCCAGAGGTCACAGCCACCATTAATTAATTAAACATAGAACAGCGAAACTTCTGAAATCCCTTTTTGACGCAAGTCTGGAGAGAATGCGTCACGGCGTCTTGGTAAAGCAGCACTTTGCTAAACTGGAAGCTTAAATACACGCAATCCTCTAATCCTTCCAATTGTAGAATTGAAAAGGTTCATCAAAAACACAAGCTGTCATTTCAAGGTATTTCCCATTGTCTTACAAATTTCGGAGGACAATAGTTAAAAAAAGAAAAGAAAATGGTTTTTACTTTTGAGCAAGTGTTGTGTATTTTCTCTGAATCATGCGAGGACCTCTCTGCCAAACACCTACACACGAGCGGAGAGAAGTTCTGGCTTCACGCAAGACTATTTTGTATTTTTTTTTTTCTACATGAATTGGTAATTTAACTGATTAATTCACGCCTCCACTTTGCTGGCTCAGCTTACTGAGGTGACTCTTTTGTGTTTTGTGTTGACCAGCACATGGAAGGCTTCCCTAAATGTTGCTTGATGTGGACGAGGGAGGACAGGAGCCAGATGTCACAGCCTGTGACAGGGAAGGAAAGATAAAAGAGAACAGCTAACAGAAAGGATACATTCCAGAACGATGTGTGTGTGGGAGGATCAGAATGCAAAATTGCTGTGACAGATGAGTGCGTTTGTACAATACTGTATGTGCGTACACACATACACATGCCAATGTTGTGTAATTTTTGCATGTCGGAGCAAAAACACAACGGAGGAAGCTCTCAGACCTTTGCACTGCATTTCGGTTGAGGAGACGGTAAACGTTTCAGCCAGTGATTTCGAAATCATTTCACCTCAACACACAATTTGTAAAAAAAAAAAATTGTAAAATGTCTCCAGAAAGACACATTGTGATTTTTTTTTTTTTTTTGATAAATAAACCTCAAGTGGTGAAAGTTGTGCCAAACTGAGCAAACTTTTACTCCTCAGTCACAGCGGAAATATGAAAGGGAGGATATCACAAAGTGATAAATAAAGTGAGTCAGACTTCGGTTTAGAGAGCTTTGCCCCAGCAGTGTGATATCTGCATGGCACATATAGCCACACATGAGTGAGCACACACAAAAAGCACAGTCGAACGCAGGAGACACAATTCTGCGAACACACTTAATCGAAACGGACGAACACACATCCCCCCATTCTCCTAAACGCACGCCAACAGTCAGGTAATCTCCCCGTGCACACTCAGCAATAGACAGACAGACAGACAGACAGACAGACAGACAGACAGACAGACAGACAGACAGACAGACAGACAGACAGACAG